GCGAGGAGAAGGTCGTCTACGTACTGGAGAAGAGTGACCTGCGGGTGGTCAGCGCGGAAAGCAGCCAGATCTTGATGAAGGGCCTCATCGAAGATGGTGGGAGAATTCTTGAACCCTTGGGGAAGCCGGGTCCAAGTCAGCTGCCCTGTCATCCCCGAGTCTGGGTCTCTCCATTCGAAAGCAAAGATGTTTTGGCTGGCAGGGTGCAGCCGCAGGCAGAAGAAGGCATCCTTTAAGTCTAGGACTGAATACCATACATGAGACGGAGGGATAGAACTCAGGAGATTATAAGGATTGGGGACCGTGGGATGAATGTCCTGCACCCTCTTGTTGACTTCCCTTAAGTCCTGCACCGGTCGGTAGTCATTAGTTCCAGGTTTCTTTACCGGGAGGAGAGGGGTATTCCACGGGGAATGGCATTTAACCAAAACCCCTAGGTGTAAGAGGCGCTGGATATGGATCTTAATTCCCCTCCAGGCTTCTTTTGCCATGGGATACTGCCGTACCGCAATCGGGGTTGCTGTAGACTTAAGCTCTACTATCACGGGGGGCCGTTCGGTTGCTAAGCCCATTCCCGCAGTTTCGGCCCAAGCCTTAGGGTATTGCTGTAACCATTCTGCTATCCTCTCATCCCCTCGGACATTATTTTCAAACAGCCGATGTTCATCTTCGAGCTGAAGTGTCAAGAGGGTAATTGGTTCCCCATGTTGGGTCAGGGTCGGCCCTCGTGGGGTGAAGGTGATCTGGGCCCCCATTTTAGTTAATAAATCTCTCCCCAGAAGGGGGGCTGGGCACTCTGGTATTATGAGGAAGGAATGAGTCACTCTTCCCGTGCCTAAATCTACCGTCCGATTAGTGGTCCAGGAGTATTGTTCATTTCCTGTTGCCCCTATCACCCAGGAGGTTTTCTGGGAGACCGGCCCTAGTGGTTTCTTAAGAACGGAATACTGGGCTCCGGTGTCCACCAGGAAATTAACAGGCTTCCCCTCCACCTTGAGAGTTACCCTAGGCTCGGGGAGGGGAACCGAGCCTCGACTTCTTCAATCACTATCTTCCTGAAGAGCCAGCGCCTTTTTCGCTAGTCTCTTCGGGCATTCCCGCTTCCAATGCCCTTCTTCCTTGCAGTAGGCACATTGGTTTTTGCCTAACGGTGGCCTGTTGCCCAAGTTTCCTGCCTGTCTTTCCTTTCCCTTCTCCTGCGGTTTACTTTCTCCTATCACTGCGGCCAAGATACGGGTTAGCCTTTTCTCTTCCCTTCTCTCTCTCTTTTCTTCTCTTTCCTCCCTTTCCTTCTCTTTTCGCAACTCCTTCTCCTCCTCCGTCTCTCTTTTGTGGTACACTTTCTCCGCTTCCTTAACTAAATCCTGAAGAGTAAAGTCCTGCAGCCCTTCTAATCTCTGCAGCTTCCTCTTAATGTCTAATGCTGACTGTCCTATGAAAGCCATGGCTACCGAAGCTTTCTGTCCCTCCGAAGCGGGGTCAAATGGGGTGTACCGCCTGAATGCCTCCATTAACCGTTCAAGAAATACAGAGGGCGGTTCAGTGGGCCCCTGGATGACCTCTCTTACCTTAGCCAGATTTGTGGGGCGCCTTGCTGCCCCTCTGAGGCCGGCCACTAGAGTCTGGCGGTAGACCTTCAGGTGCTCCCTACCTTCTGCCGTGTTGAAATCCCAGTCCGGTCTGGCCAATGGAAAGGCTGCATCCACCAAATGGGAGAGCTGGGTTGGCCGACCATCGGGGCCAGGAGCGTTCTTTCGGGCCTCCAAAAGAATCCGCTCCCTTTCCTCCGTAGTAAAGAGAGTCTGGAGGAGCTGTTGGCAGTCGTCCCAGGTGGGCTGATGAGAGAACATCAGGGACTCAACTAGCCCCGTCAAGCGTTGTGGATCCTCTGAAAAGGGAGGATGGTTAGTTTTCCAGTTATAGAGATCTGCCGAGGAGAAGGGCCAGTATTGGAGCGGCTGAAGCGGAGCCGACTCGTCATCATCCCCACGGGTGGGCGGAGGCCCGTAGGGTCGAAGAGGGCAGGCCACAGTCGAGTCAGGAGACACTGGCTGCCTTCTCTGCCTCCGGGTACCCTGGGCCGGTCCCTCCGCGGGAGGAGCGGGGGGTGCTACAGGCTCTGGTCTCTCCGGTGGCTCTGGCTGGAGAGGAGAGGGATAGGGGGGCGGAGAGTCCAAGAGGAGAAGATCGGCTTGAGGG